CTCCAGGGCAGGCGGGAATCGAACTCATGCGGAAGTGGCTTAAGCTTCTTAGTGCTGTGCTTTAACCCGCTGCGCCACCAGGGAGGGCCCTATCTTCACTCTTTAGGAACATATATAGCTTATATTACAATTCTGTTCAACAGTAATACCCACATGGTGATTATTTTCAAATCTGGTTTTCTCAATTGTACATCTTATTCTTGAACTTAGTCAAGATCATTTTCATATTTAAATATGTGCAAAGCTTATTTACCATCCCATCATCATATCTGATTTTGGATAATGGTACAACCGTTGTCCTCATTGTTCAAACTAGAAACTTAAGAGACATTTGAAACCTATCTTTCCCTTCTTCTTCCATCATTTAAATATCTCTGTAATCTCTATTTCTTTCACTGTGATTCACTTAGACTCTTGTTTTTCTTGTTTACAGTACTATAATACACTACTAATAAATCTCCTAAGTTCATTCTTGCCCCTTCTTAATCCATCCACCACATTAACTCTATTATAAAATGGAATGGCCATTCTAAATATACATTTATTCTTATAGTTTTATCACTCAGAAAGACATTCCAACTCAGATAATAGAAAACCCAATTTAAATCAGTTAAATGGTTGTTTGTAATCTTGAATGACAGAAATCCAGAGGTTAAGTCAAGCGCTGCTTGATTAGCTCAGCGGTGTCATTGCTATGTTATCTGGGGTGTCTCCCCTGAACATGACAGCATGACAGGCACAATTTTGCCATGCTTCATTCAAGGAAAGAAGGCAGTGGGTGGCTCTAATTTGGACTCTCATCAGGAAATCAAACACTTTGCTTTTAGCCTTTCAATAAAATTTACTTTTCACTGAACAGAAGAACTATATCAATATGGTATCCCTCACTTCAAAAGAAGCTTGCAACGTGAGATTTTACCTTTCCTAGCTTCTATAGGAGAGGTCATAAGGGAGAAAGGGGATTGGATGATGAGTTAGTCTACAGAAAACCTTTTACTATTCTCCACTTTCTTCAGGATAGTGAAATTTGACCTTTCTGATTTCCTTTTAATAACAGTACGATGTTTTTGACTTTCTCCTCTAGTAAACAGCAAGTTTCCTAAAAGAAGTCTATAACCTCGGTTATTAGCAATGCTGTACCCATTTTGGAAGTTCATTAAATGTTTGCTTAGGATTTAAAGTTCCTAACATGTCAACTCATTTTTATGAATTGTTTACATTTTTAAATATTTTATTTCTCAGGGAACTTTGAAGAAAAATTAGTCTCTTCCATTTTTAATTTCAGACATACAGTTATGTCTTTTTTTGAAAAAGATTTATTTATGTATGCATACAAGAACTGGAGTACAGACCAGAGGTGCAGGAGTAAGAGGATTCACCAGGGACAGAATAGGGAGCAGACAGGCAGACACATTGAAATATACTGCTGAGGGTACTAGTGGGCAAAACAGGAGAGTTCTGCTATGCACATAAGTCACCATGCTGGCCAGAGATTTAACTCATGCAGAAATGGCTTTGGATAGCTTCCTAGTGTTGAGACTTAACCCCCTAGGCTACCAGGGAGGACCCTAAACTGCACTTTCTTGTACCCTCAAGTGGTCCGTATTGCCACCCAGCTTCAGTGCTTAAAAAACATGTTTAGATTATAAGGATATTGGTACAAATGATATTTATTTACTTGCCATGAGTTAATGGAAAAAGTTAAGAACAATTTTAATGTTCTTTATTCATCCATGTCAGTGGGAAATGACACACTTTGTTAATCTTCAAGTTCAAGTAGTTTTGAACAGTGATACAAATTTGACCCAAAAGCAGGAGAGGGCTTAGGGAGCCTGGCACAGTGGTGACTAGTGGGCATATGGGTACCCTGCCAGGACAAAGGAGAGAGGTATGAAAATGAAAAAAAAAAATCACCATGTGCTTCAAATGGCAAGAAAAGAATAAGGGCTGTTGTGATGATAGCTTGAGTCCAGGACTATATCCTGGGAAGAAAGTTAAAAGCAAACACTAGTTTCTTAGTTCTAATAAACATCTCTGCATTGGAGCTGGAAATTTATTCCCCTACCCCCCTCCAAAAGGCTGTAGTAATTGGTGACATGACCTGTTTTTGTGTTCTTCATTTTGAAGATAAATGACTTCTTAAATCCATCCCAGTGTACAAAGAACTCTTAAAAATATTATCAAAAAGGAAATTAATTAATTAATTAACTAATTAATTAATTAATTATCTGTAACTCAAAGACATAGTGTTCTGGGGAATGAAGATAGCATGCTATTTTAAGATTTATCTGTAATCCAATAAGTTTTAAAATCTAGTTTTAACACATTTTTCAGGGTTTTTGTAGAAAGAAATTGTTGAAAGGTTATTCTTTACCAAAAAGCCAGATTACTTAGTTGGCTAATATTCATCCCAAATCAGCCAGCCTCCTTTTCCTCCATCACAAATCTTTTCCCCCACAAACTTTTAGTATTATATTCCATCTTGCAAGTACTTCCTGTTCTATCAATAAGTAAATCTGGTAACGAATAAACTAGACATCATAGTACAAAAATTGACACTGAAAGTCATTAACAGTTTTTATGCTTTTATCAACTTTTCAGCTCTTTCACATTTTTCTTATAAAATCTTTTGCTAGAATTTGATGCTGTGTCCTAGCCCTTCCTGAACACTTATTTTAAGTGGCATGGTTTTTTCTGGACCAACTATTTGCAGGAGGGTTCATGGATGGTGGAGCCACCAGGTCTTCCTTCAGGCTTCAAACCTTCAAACCACTGCTTCTGGCCAGTGAAGCTCCTCTGAGATTTTTTTTTGTGTAGCTTTGCTCCCTCTGGTTAACTGAGCTAAGCTGAGCCTAGAAGGATCTCTGTCACCAGCCCTGCATCTCCAGGCCCCTAACCAGCAGCAGCAGACATGGCAGAGTCCTTCACCTTCAGGGAGGATATTTTTGCTGGCTCTTTCTGAATCTGCTAGCAGCCCTCCACATATCCTCTGCCTTTTCTCTCTGCGTTCCAACCTGGTGATTTCTGGTGAAGCTCAGCACCTCACCCCTCAGCTGTGAGATATTTTGTGTGATAGATTTGCCTTTCAGGATGAGATTCTCTTCCAGGAGATACACTTTTCTGTGCTTTCAGAGATTTGCCCACTCATGGTGTACTTTGACATTCTCTTGGCATTATCTGCTTAATTTTATTTGCTTTCCTTTCAGGTTCTGTCTCCCAATTGCTGAAAAGGTAGGGCAATAATTTTTAAGGCCTTTGGGGTTTTGTCCCTAATTTTTTCTGATGTTTTGTTGCACTGCTATGTATATTGCAGCACTATTTACAGTAGGTAAGACTTGGAAACAAGTCTTACCCAAAAATACATGACTGGATCAAGATGTACATATACACAATGGAACACTATGCAGCCAAAAAAACAATCTAATGCTATTTATGGCAACATGGATGGAGTTAGAAGGAATTATGCTAAGTGGATTAAGTCAGAAAGAAAAAGAAACATACAGATTGATTTCAATTATAGGAGGCTTATAGGAAACTATGTAAGGGTTCGGGGAAATATAATAACAGTTCAAAAAAGCAATATAAGAAACTGAACAAAAATAATCAAACAACTATAAACTAGAAACATTCTACAGGGGAGAGTGGGGGAAAGGGTACAAAATGTGGATGGGAAGAACACAAAGGACTAAGGTGATGGTGCCCAG